TTGAGCACTTGACACAATCGGCTAATAATAATCTCCGCAATTCATGCGAACAATTTCTGCTGTCATTTGTCTCACAACTCATACTAATCACACATTTAGAGCCGACGGATGTATTGAATGTGATTCCAGCCATGAATTTGCTGTTTGTTGCGGGAAGAGTGGCCTTTTGGGTCGGCTATCCCGTGCACAGGGGAGTAGGCTTCACTCTATCCCATGTGCCCACTCTTTTAGCCATTGGTTATAATTTGTATAAATATACACAACTTTTTGTTTTTACAAAATAATTAGGGATTCGTTTGAATATTCTTACTATTTTTAATTTATATTAATTTTTGAATTGAATATTATGTTTTGTAATTTATATATAAAATTACTGTATTATAAAATATAATTTTGTTTATATTATGCACAACATGTTGAGCATTTTGTTATTTTTTGTCAATTATGTGTTAAATTATTTAAAATTTTTACTTTAATCCAATTAATAAAATATTAGTTTAAATCAATTCCATAACTATGTATATGTATATCATAACTATTCCCATTCTTTAGTTTGTTTATAAGTTAACTCAATTTAAAATTACATTTTAGAAATATTTGATTTATTTAATTCACTAATTTATTTTTTATATTTTACAGATTTTTAATTTATACAACAATTGTAAAACAGGCCATTGTTTTCTGGAAACAGATTTTTATATCTATTTTTATAATTTTTATATTTAGTTTTTGTTTATAACAATAAAATAAACTGAACAGTAGTTTATATACTGTACATGTATTATTATAATTGTTACATCTTTATTCTAATTAAGTTTTTAGATTTTATTATAATTAATGAATTTACAATATCACCATGATATTTTACTAAATTGATACAGAGATATTTCTAATGTTAAATTTTAAGAATTAAGTGCTAAACAAAATTGTCGGAAATATTTAATGTGGTCATATATGACAATTACATTAAAATGATAGGTGATTATTACAGTATTATCATGATATAAATTAATTGTATATTTGATAAGGAAAAGTAATTATGTATTAACAATTAATATTATTTTTTATTTAGCAGGATTACTAATAATTGGGACAAAAATGTTATTTATTCACGTTATATCATGGCTTGCAATCTCCACAACACTACGAATGGTCTGTAATACATTTAATTTTGAGAATAGTAATCTATAATATTAGACCTTGTTTACTTATTTTCAGACAGTAGGAACATTCTTTGGCCACACACATTGTAAGTTACTATCCATTTAGATAAATTCTTATACATTGCGTAAACTTCAGGTGCGAATGATATATGTTTTGAAGGATTGGGATGTTTTTCAAACAAAACATTTATCGAAAGACTCAGCGATGATCTCAAATTTGAATCTGTGGTCAATTATCTCACTTTTAACCAATTATTCTTCATCTGTCCGACGAATCCCGAAGATATGAACGCAAAGCTATTGCTGTTTACAAGGGATTCAAGCAATGGACACATAAGTGAAATACTCGCCTATGACTCGACTGTCGAAGACATTGCAAAAACCAATTTTTCAATCTATCGGAAAACTGTTGTTATAACACACGGATGGACCGACTATTATGGCAAAGACTTATGGATGCCTGTAATCATATACCAATTCATACACCCATTTATTAGTAATTGTGACTGAATTTTAATTTACTGCTCATAACATACAGAATATGAAAGATTATTTCCTGGATTACGACTACAATGTTGTGGTACTAGACTGGGAGACTCCGGCCTCGGATTCAAACTATTTTAACGCCGCCTTTAATTGTCAAATAGTGGGCGCAATGCTGTCATACTTTGTGCGGACATTGGTCTCAATGGGCGTTAATGTGGCGAACATTCATTTGGTGGGTCACAGTCTGGGCGCACATATCGTTGGCTTTTGCGGCAAAAACTTTACAAACCCTAAGATCGGTCGCATCTCTGGCTTAGATCCGGCCGGTCCTGGCTTTTGGCGCAACGACTCCCGCACACGACTCGCCCCCACAGACGCCTCACTAGTGGTCGTCACTCACACCAGCGGTGGACTCATTAAATGGGGTAACAATTAATGCAATATTTATTAATTTAACGCTAAACTAATGATGATTACCACCAAAGATGGGTCTCTCGCAGATGTGTTGCAAATGAGCGGTTATGTGGGAAATGTTGAGCCACTCGGACACTACGATTTCCGGCCCAACGGAGGTCTTTGGTTTATGTCATAAATATTTAAATCAATATTAACACTTGATGTATGTGTAAATCAGGAACAGGACAACCCGGATGCAATCGCTCAGTCACTACATTTATCACCAATCGATTTAAAGGTTTAAGATATACTTTTATACTGTAATCATGAAAAGACTACCTAGATGTAAAGAGTACCTAGAGTACCTACTTTGCAATGAATGTAGAATGCTTATTTTCCTAGAATAATGACATCCCTCCACGTGTGCTATTAGTATTGCATCAAAATTACCCAGTGCACTTAATTCTATATTGAGTGTAATCAATATCAGTTGATTATGACATACAGATATCAAAAAGCTCTTAAAAGTGCATTATAAATAAATTGTTTTTGAATATTTACTAAATAATCATAAACAGATGTCATAAATACATTTAAGCACTTGAAAATATGACCATAATCACATTTATTAAATATAAACTGACAAAGAATGAGTTTTACTAATAATTATTTGCTTAAATTTTAATAGGAAAGGCTAATGAATCGAGGAATTGCAACCATAATAGGGCCACAGTATTACCAATTGCTGATCGAGGGCTAAAAGAAGTGGACAGTTGTCAACTGATTGCTTACGAATGCGATTCTTATGACAATTTTTATTCGGGTAAATGCGGTGATTGCGGAACCGATGGTCATCGGTGTCGACCGCTTGAGTTCAATCTGGAGTATTGGCTCAACGATGACAATGTAAATCCAGTTAACGCTTTGAAAACATTTCCTAATAATTACTATCTGTTGACTGCAAACGAACAACCCTTCTGTCTCTTCCACTATCAGATTGTGGTAAAAATAAAATTTACTTTTTTAAATTAATTAATTGACAATAAAATATTAATTATTTTATAAGATATACGTAAAGGAAAACTCAATTCTTGGTAAAGTAGCCGTAAAGTTAGGCCATAACAAAACGGTTACTTTCAATAGACCAGCGTTGGGCTATCAATCCGGTTATAACTACACTCAGTTATATACAGATACCGAGAGTCTGGGATATGTAGATAATGTTGAGGTTTTATACGGGGTTAATTTGTTGGGACACTTTATTAACCGAGATATTAATATCGATAGGATTGATGTTAATTTTATGAGTAATATTAATGCAAAGTAAGCAATTTTATAAAAATTATGTTTAAATTATTTATATTTATAAATATTATATAAATAGTGTACGAAAACAATATTCAGCGCAACTCTTCCCACAAAAAGGCAAACCGACAACATTTGTGGCCTCGGATTAAACATATGATTGATTAAGTTATTGAAAAATAAAAATTATCATTTATTTTCTTGCATTTCAATCATTTATTAGTAATTAAATTTTTAATAAATAGGTTTTTGTTGTATATTCTGTTTGTTTATAATTTATAATATTGTTAACAAAGACACGCTTTTGATAAAAAGCAAATTAAACATATAATTAATATGTTTAATTACACAAACAAAAATTTTATCCGAACTTAACCTTGATAATTTTGTTAATTTTTACAAATTGAGTTTAATAAGCATTAAATTCTATTTACATAATTATATCTCAATATAAAGATATTACATTAAAAACATCACTTTATGATAAACTTATAATTTAATAACTAACTTGTAAGAATTTCTGATAACAATCAAACTGTATTGAGAACTTACATGTACTGCTACTTTCAATGAATTCTATTTATTACATAACAATATATCATTGATATTATAAAACAGCAATATTTTGTATAATTGTTGATCTAAAGAGCCCACTATATCTAGATTATCTAAACATCTAAACTAACATATTTCAATTATCTCATACTTTTCAATTTATTTAAAAGTTTTCATTAAACAAAACAACATATTTTAAAGTATTTCTTGTGTATTATTGAGAAATACTGAACTTATTATCTCAAAATAAAGTACTCGTGTCTTAATATCATATTTTTATTAACTTTTCAATCCAATCTTTTATATACAAATTTAATAATCATTAACTATTGCATAAATCTATATTATTTATCACAATTCCCACTATCTTTACCTCAAAGATGTTTTCTATGAAATGTCTCCACTTTGCAGACAAACCCGTGTTTCGGTCCCTTTAATCAAACATTGAGGAGACGATTGAAAAACTCTGTATATTTTGTATATTTTTTAGATGTTTTCAAATCCTTTATCAAACTTTCGTTTTAACACATCATTCATTAATAATTAGCACTAAATTATGATAATATAATCAAATTCTTTCGGGAATTTTTAGGACATGTGTCCTAATGTTAATCTCTGAGATATAATTCGTTAATTATTTTGTTTGCATTTTTGTATATAAAGACAATTCAAAGTTTGATATTAATACAAAAATTTTGTAAATGCTTTAATAATTTTATATTAAATTACAAATAGTATTAATTCATAATATAAAATGGGTAATTTATGAAGCAATAGTCATTTAATGTAAATATAAAATGATAAACTTTTTTTATAATAGATATTAATGTTTCACAAATCGGAGATTTAATAAGTGAAGGGAAGACTAAAAGGGTATTTCACTTTAAAAATGACGGATCTTTTGGGACAGACAGCGAATTGGTTTACATTACAAACAAAGACAATATATCTGCCGGTAATTTAAATTCAATAAATTAAAACATATGAATGATACAAAGTTAAATCAGTTTATTGCGTTAATCATTGAATGAATGGGTTGATATCCATCCCATAGAGCTAATGTTAATAAAATCATCAATTTCTCGTAGATGGCTGAACTAATTATAATCAAATTTTGCTATCATATACTTTGACATCTCCTCTACCGAATAGCATACCCGCCCCTCTTCGACCCCTTTTTAACTGAGCTAAAACTATGGCAAATCGAAATGGTCCAAAAATTTTTATGTTCTAGTCACGTGATTTCAATAATTTTTTTCTGAAATAAAACTAGATATATGAAACATCATTTGACAATTTACAGATTTGATCCAGCTCATTTGGTTTAGGAGATATTCGGA